TCCCTTAGAGATTCAATCCCCTCGAGTATTTGGTCACATATTTTCTTCTCTGCAGAAAAAAGCAATTTGACCTGATACAAAGGCATTGAAAGGTTTGGTTAGAAACACTACCTAATTGGAGGAAGATTGTTTAGATGAATTAGCATCAGCACAGGTCCTTACAGCAATTCGCATGTAGTGTATCCAATTTCCAATCTTTGCCTCCAAAACTTCCCATTGCATTCTCTGGACATCATCTTTAGTAAGTCTCTCTACGCCTAATTTCTTGAGGCTCTGTTCCAAAACTGTAGCACGAGTATCCCTAGCATTTAAAGACAGTATATATTGACATTGACAAGTCCCAAATTCTAAAGGAAAGAGTACAACATGCACATTAAAGCATAACGCCAATTGTGCTAGTAGTAGTATCAGTTACATGCTACCAGAGTATCTGTTCAAGATTGGCACCAAACCCATATTTTACTTCAATAACGTGAAACGGAAAACCTACTGTTAGTTTTCAAATTAAAAGCTATTATTGCCAATGTCCTTGCAAGTGAGCAAAGAGTTTCATTTTTGCAGCTTCATAAGCTGTTACATCTTTCACAATTGGAAAGAAAAGTAATAATAGGAAAGAATTCAGAGGACAATCACCGAAAGATTCGGAACAGTTGCTGCTGATGACCAGCTTGAGCCATTTGTAATGCCAAATCATGCAGCAGTGGCACGACCCTTGGTGGGATAAGAGTGGGAAGTGTGTAAATGGCAGTTGCTAAGCTCTTTTGCTGTTCAGGAGAATGTTTATTACCACCCTCCCCTTGATGCTTATCAGATGCTGATGATGGCCTTAGAGAGTTCGGAAGACATTCAAAAAGGCGATCAGGTTCAACAGGTTTGCTGGATAAATCCAATAAAACACCCAGTCAACAAACCTGACATTCAAGACAGTTTGGGGAGCTGATTATGACTCACAAAAATACAGGGAATATCAGAGGACAGAGATATAGTGCATAAAAACGAAGGCAGAGAATTGAAGCTTATAATGTACTGATGAGACTAACTGAAGACTACTTGAATGGCTCTCACGACTTGAGAACAGGGTGCAGGTGCTAAGATGACCATCAGTTCATGTTTTCGGGTCAAAGTAAGTATATAAGACAATCCAAACAGGGAGTATCGAGGAGCAAGTACACAAAACATCAGACCGTCTGAGCAAGTCTCTGACTGTTGGAAGTTTAAAAACGCTTCTTTCAGGATTCACCTTCGCATGGTTCATTCATGCCGGGCCAAAAGGTAAGAGAACAATGAAGGAATTCAAGAGGAATGGAGACCTAACATCCCCTTCCACTTAGACCATGTCACCTACACCTGGCGTTGACTAATTCGTTTGCAGCACAAATTTAACAAATCTGCACTTTTTCTAGTCACAAACACTTCATTACCATCATTGGATCTCTGAAGTACAATTTGGAAGCCAACCTGTAATTAGCTAGCAGTGTGTTGAACTCTTCTTCGAGCTTTACTATAGCTTTGGCAAGCAGTTGATTAGCATGGTGGACCACCCCATCACTGCTCTTGAAGTTTTTGTTGCTGCTGAAGAACTTGACAGTGGCTTTCAGCTGCTCAATTGCTTCTAGGTAGCTCTCCAAATCCTCATGTGGTCCTCTCAGAATTTTAGCCTCCGCCTAAACATTGGAATCAAAACACGCAATTTCAACATGCAACTCGGCCCAAAATAACAAGCAACACAAAGCTGTCATCTTTTCTCTACAAATCAGTTCCGGGTTATGTCCAATCAGGCAAACAACTGCAATAACTCCAAGAAAGTGGGGTTCAATAACCTCAATTAAATATCGTGGGGTTTTTGTCTGGTTCTCTGACCTCAGACTCCAAACTGAAATCTTTTTAAATGCTGTTTATAAAAGTCAAAATTGCCATAATCCCAAGTGGATACACACAGACACTTAAGGCAGGGGAGACTTTGTTTGTTTATATAATTCAGAGCAGATGATGACAATAACCCCCAACCCCACATACACACACAGTCCCTTTCCATGCAATTTCACTATGTTCTGACCCCATCTGAGCAGACAACTAAGGCATGGCCACTGGAGCATTTCGTCAAACACCATTTGTTCATTCAAAATTCGCACCGGGGGAAAAACAGAGAAGTAGAGAGAAGAAAAACCTTGCGCGTTTGGTCGAATTGACTCAAGATACCCTCCGCAGACTTCAAAGTCTTGTCGATGTTTTCGTGTGCTCTCCTGATCGAATGCGTCCTTATCTGCCCCACGAAGAACAGACCAGTGTCAAAAATCAAAATAGAGAAGCAAACAAAAAAAATTGAGCTCCGAAGCAGAGATCTCAACAACATGACCGATAAATTAAAGCAATTGATGACCTGAGTAGGACGCATGGCGGTTTCGAGGGCGGAGAGGCGGTGGTCGAAGGATCCAAGGATGGAGACCATGTTATCGGTGATGGTCTGGCTCTTCTCGAGCGCCTCCTTCATGAATTCCGCCCTATACGCCAGCGCCACCATCGTCTGTGGCACCCCCATCGTTTCTTGTCTTGAATTTTGCGGCTGGCCCTTCAGGCGGGTGTTTCTGGTACTGGGATCGGAGGTCGGAGATAATGGGGGGAAATGGTGGCGGAATCGCGTGGTTTCTGAAGGTCGGTTTTTTTTTTCTTTCACAGAAAAAAGGGGAAATTCAGTCAGGAGGTCCGTCACTGTTGCTTTTGGGTGATGCTCTCTCCTTGTTTTCTTTTCGGTTGCGAAATGCGAAGGAAGCAAAGGATCACGACGACGGTGATGGTGCGGTGGCAGTGGGGTGGGGCCCCTGCCGCAAGCAGACAAATATTGAAGTGGTTATGAAGAAATGTTGGATTACCTTAGCGGGGGGAAATATTTTTGTTGTGGGCCCAAATCTTTGACTGTGGGCCCTATGGTTTTATTTGTATTCAAACGTTCTTGCCGTTAACATGCATTTCTTCCGTTTAATCTGATCGTATTTGGAGATTGTTTGGCAAGAAAATGGTTGAAAGTGTATGATTTTCCTAGACAAGCTAAAATTCCCATAAATATGTGATCATAAAATCATAATTTCCCATATGACTTAATTAATTAGAAATTTCATTTATAGCTTTTCAAATCTATTCCTCCCAACAGAAAATGGATGTACAATGGTGGGTGGTGGGTGGTAGATTGTTAATCGGATTAGATTTAGAGGTTGTTTGGTAACCGCCATGTCTTGGAGTATAGTTTGTTTTGCCTAGTGGTATGACGTCTTGGTGTAGAGACTGTGTTCGCCTGAACTCGTGATTACAGATTTCTCGTGAAGCACTCATGATATATGATAGGATCTTCTCATCGTTTGAACTATAAAATCATAAACTTAGACTAAAGACAAATTAAATTTGTGTGTTGTATACTGTATGAGGTAGAGATTATTCTTAGGTATCTGAAAAATTTCCGACAACATATTTAAAAAATTACAATTATCATAATTAATATACAAATTTAAAATGATAAAAGGGAATACGAAATATTCATTACAAAAATAAAATCCAACAATACATTATTATAATTTTACCTTATCCCGACTAAACATGGACTTCATCTCTCAATTACATGAATATGTAACCCTTAGTATTCACTTTTCTTTCCATTTAAACAAAAATTCATCGAAGAAACTAGCATAACCCAATCAAAATTGAAAAAGGAAGACCAAGTCAGGTTTAGAAGTTGTTTTTCCGAAGCTAATTAGAAAGAACAATGTTGTTGAGTCTGGATACTACCTAGTACAATAATATAACCTGATTATTCAAATTTCAAAATCAGACAACTGAATGCGTCAAATAACAAAACATACGAGATTCTTCCTACTAAAAAAAACTTAATCAGACAGCTGAATGCATCAAATAAAAGAAACATGCAGATTGTAATAGATAAAATGGAAGTGGTGCAACTATGAAATAATAGCTTTTTAAGGCATTCCATGTAAAAATATATATGGTCAACTAGTTATTGAACTATTTATAAAAGAGTCGTTTGCCAAGATATGGACAACTTTTTGATAGTTTTCAAGAAGAGAATGAATTCATGACATAGATATCTTGAGAAGAGGAACTTGATCATTAATATTGTTCCAAACACAAGTACACGCAATTCGTGAATTAATTGAGTATGTGAAATAAGCTTAGTGTGCAAGTTGTAGTCCTAAATAAGACTTATATGTAGCCCTAAAATATAAAAATTTACACTAATACCCCTACAAAAGTCATATTTTCTCAAACTCCCTCTTCCAAACACACCATTCGGTCATCACCATCCCCTCCATGTCAGCATCGGTGGAGGTGAGATCTCCACCAGAGATATGGTCGGACGCGTCATATTATCAGTCGTGGTCGAAAGTGTATTTCATACATTATCAATCTTGATCGGATGCGTGCTTTACACGTCACCAACTATCTCGATTTGAGTTGTAATATCTTCGGTTTGATTTAGGAAAATTTGAGGTTGCTAACAATAATTGGTGTTTTATTTGTTAGGTTTAGGTTTTGAAGTTGCTCTAGTTCGGATTTGTAGATAGCTCTACGCCGAACAATGAGTAAACAAGCTAGTGGGTTAAACTTTTTTTTTTTTTTTTTAGAATAATAACGTGTTGAATTAGTTATTGCTAGGATTGTGACTAGTCATTGTTACTTTGTTAGTATGATCAACGGTTGTTGGTAAGAAGATAATGAATTATTAGGATTTGTTCGAATGATGAGTATTTTGTGTTAATAATGTATTTAAATGTTACTTGTTAAGATAATAAATTGCGTTATTAGTAACATGTAGTATTAGTTCTTGTTCTGTCAAAAAAAAAAAGAATATATTAGTTCTTGTTAGGATAGTGGCTAGTCATTGTTTTTTTTTTTTTTACGGTATTAGCTAGTCATTGTTAGTATGTCATTTGTTGTTAAAAAAAGTTGAATTATTAGTTCACGTCAGAATGATGAATAGTTTTTTTTTTTGGATAAAAGATAATCATATATTGATTGAACAAACGATAGTTACATCCTGGAATTCAACTATGCCTGAAAATCAAATAAATGACTCATAGTCGGGTACAAAGAAAGGGCTTTCCGAGCCACCAAATGAGCTACCTTATTGTTACGCCGACCTACAAATCGTACAGTGAAGCCCAACCTCATATCAAAGGACTGGATGATCTCTTCAAGAATCGATCCCACCCGGGCATCCCTTGCATCCCTCCGAAGGATCTTCTCGATAATAACCTGGGCATCGCCTTCAAACATGACTGCGGTAAAGCCAGTGTCCAAGTACCACGAGTTGCCTCCCGGAGAACAAGCACCTCAATCATCATAGGATCATCCATCACCGGGAACTGGACCCCCTTGACTAGAAGAATCTCTCTATCTGGACTCATAAGGACCATCCCACCTGCTGAATGAGAGCCACTCCGAACCGCCCCATCCCATATACAAATCACCTGACTCGATCCGACAGGATCAGAGGGGGGAGAATGAGAACGCAAAACTGGATGGACCCGATCCACCGACAGACTAACCCATTCCTGAACCTGTTGATTAAACTGTCGCATCAAGGCAGGAACCCCAAACTGCTTGCCTTCAAAGACAACCCAGTTACGAGATCGCCAGATCCTCCAAAGGATGGCAATAACCGACATTACCAGAAATGGTTGATGAAGCAATGCCAAAAGTTTTCTCAGAAAGAGCGGGAAGGTATGACGCGGTAACCCTCCCCCCAAGTGAGCGAGTCCAGTATGATCCCAAAGGGCAGGAGCAACCGGAAAATCTAGAAACAGATGTTCCAGGGTCTCAGAGGCTTCCCAACACACCGGGCATCTAGGTAAAACCACCACCTTCTTCTCAATCAGAGCCTCCGTCGTAGGTAGAATCCGATGAAAGATTTGCCAAACAAACACTTTTAGCTTCGGGGGAACATTAGCTTCCCACAAACGGATCCAACTAGCCTTGTCCATCCAGCTAGCCAGAGCTCTCCATCTACCATTCTGCTGCTTTAGGATAACCGCGAAATGATAAGCTGATTTAACAGTGAAAATCCCATCAGAATTACCATGCCAAATCAGTCTATCCTCAATACATTGACTTGTTTAAATATTTTTGTTAAGATGATAAATACTCGTTATTAGTAACTTGTTGAAATATTATTTGTTGTGCAAATATTTTTAGGGTTCAGCGTTTATAGATTTAGGGTTTATGGTTCAATGTTCATGGTTTGGAGGTTCAGGGTTTATGGAGATTTATGATATATAGGCTTAGGATTTAGGGTTCAAGGTGTAGCGGTAGCATATGAGCTTAACGTGTTTTGCAACTTGGTACCCAGATTTAAATATTTATGCAGATAAGTCCCCAACAAATCCATAATTTTCAATTAAAGTACGATTATGTTCAAATTTAGGGTGTGCCTACGGTGACATGCATGTCACGGTGACTTGCACTTTCCGGTCGACCTCAGTTAGGATTAGGTCGACCTCATTTAGAATTCGGTCAACCTCATATAGGATCGGGTCGACCTCATTTAGGATTCGGTCGACCTCATATAGGATCAGGTCGACCTAATCTGTTGTTTCAGTGTAAAAACAGTTCATGGCGCCTACTTTGGATATTCATATCATACAATTGGCTAGATGGAAATTGAAGACTAATGACTTGTTTTGAAGCTAGAGTGTCCCTCTACATATTGAAGTGATTGAGAGCTCGATAGGAAGTCCAGAAGACCATTTTTGAACCTCATCAAAAGGCTATGCCAAAACTGGGAAACTGCCTAGAAATGGCTTAAGTCTGGAAACGTGTTTGTGAAGCCTATTTTGGAGCTCAATTCGAGAAGCATGAATGCGAGTCGAGTCCAGGAGCCTCTACCACGTTAAATTAGGTATGTTTTTATACAAATTCAAGGCATTGGATGAAAGATTGGATATCTGTAAGGCTTCAAACAAAAGGGTCGAAGTTGCTACGAAGGCTGTTTTTCTGGCAGACTTCGAGCACAAGCAAGCTGCCAGAAAAAACAGTCTTCGTAGCAACTTCAAGCCTTTTGTTTGAAACCTTAAAGATATTCAATCTTTCATCCAATGTATTGCCTTTGTATAAAAAAAATACTTAATTTAACATGGTAGAGGCCCCTGGACTTGACTCGCATCCATGCTTCTCAAATTGAGCTCCAAAGTAGGCTTGACAAACACGTTGCCAGACTTAGCCATTTTCAGGCAGTTTCCCAGTTTTGGCATAGCCTTTTGGTCAGGTTCAGAAATGGTCTTCTGGACTTTCTATTGAGCTCCCAAGTACTTTAATGTGTAGAGGGATACTTTAGCTTCAAAACAAGCCTTTACTCTCCAATTTCCATCTAGCCAATTGTAAGATATGAATCCCCAAAGTAGACACCATGAAACTGTTTTTACACTGAAACAACATATTAGGTCGACCTGATCCTATATGAGGTCAACCGAAAAGTGCATGTCACCGTGACATGCATGTCACCATAGCAAAGTCCTCAAATTTATTATTATTATTATTATTATTATTATTATTGATATGAATTTAATGTCAGCAATTCCAATTTAACGTTCGTATTCAAATTTCAATTTATCATTTCATAAATTTCTAATTTCTTTTAAATCACGATTGATGACAATTGAGTGATTTGGGACGAATAGTGGATATCGATTATCATATTTTAGTTAGTTCGATTTCTTTTTATTTTATTTTGTATAATTTTAGTTAGTTTGATTTCTACGCATATACATGTATCATGAATACGAAACATGCCTAGAGAAAAGAGTGACAATTTGGAGAAAGAGAACCACTTACACATGTATAGGTAAGCAAGATTCAAACTTAGTAGAGAAAACCACGTTCACTTATTATCACTCATAATATTCATATTCGAATTTTATGTATGCACACCCAACTCGTTAATAATCCATTCCATTCGAGTTTTACCCTATTGTTGAATCTTAGACTTATATACAAACAATTGTGAATGATTTTCTTGTAATCCCTCCCTGCCTGTATATACCTAAACAAGTAAAAGATCCCAAGATGATTTCCCTACAGCCTAGCTACACCACTTTTTCCATTGGATCCAAACAAGTTGTCTAACAAAACCGATTTCAGGGAGAAAGTAACCCCCTCCTCCTTCTTCTTGTGCAAGAAATTTTTTGAGAGGCTTACACAAAGAAGAAGAAAGAAAAAAAAAAACTAAATGCTGCTGCACATCCCTGCAGTAGTAGTACTGCACTGCCTGAGCCTGAGTACAGACTTAGACAGGCAGGCAGACACAGCAACTGGCCCCCATTCCCCCCATTCCATTTCTGGTACAAAAGGCAGCAGCACCAGAGAAAAGTTGCACAAAAGGACTGCCCCTCATTTATGCTTCCCCCTCTTTTGTCTTTCCCCAAACCCCTCCTCCGCCATTAATGCCTGTTCCTCCCTCCTGCCACCCATCCCACAGCAGGCAGCAGCTCATTAATGGCAGACTGATTGTCTTTTACCAGAAAGAACACAACAACAAAACACCATTAGCTTTAATTACTGGAATTTTTATTTATTAGCGGGGCTGGCAGCAGGCAAACGACGACTACCCAGAAGATAACATGTGACAACTACATTTCCTTTCTTTCGTTAACTCCCTTCCTGCGGTTACAAAAGACACCCCCGACCCCGCTCCAATAATGTCTCCTTGTAGGTGACAGACTACTACTACTGCTGCTGCTACTTCTTACTACTACTACTACTACTGCTATTGCTATCCTGTTATGATGATGACTATAGGTAGTTACCTTAAACCCTAAACCTCCCTTCCCCTAATTTGAACAACATCCTTACCAACCTTCCTTTCTTCCCTAAATCAACATCTCCTATTCTGTATACCTCTATTTCTTCCTGACTAAGTTTGGGTTAACAACACCTACGGTTAGCAGCAGCTGCAAAAGAACAGTGAACCTGAAACTAGCTAGCTAGTAAGTCCACTCTGCAGGGAGATGGTAATGGCATTCCTCTTCTTCTCCTTTCTGATCAACGCTGCTGCTGCTTCTTCCTCCACCTTCCTCCATTGATAATGCATACTTCCGACCGGAAACCTCTGCACCACCTCCCGCTGCTGCTGCTGCTGCTGCTCGGCGACCCACGTGACGAGGATCTCTCCTCTGCTTTCCGGAGATTACTGACACCAACCCACAGCAACACGCAAAACAACAAAAAGGGTAATCAGAAGTTCTAATTAAGGACTAGCTAGTAATAATTAAATAAACAATATCAATCGAATTTGAACACTACCGAAACTAATACTCACGGAGCTTGCTTCTCAAGTAGTCGGCGGCGGCGGCGGAATCAGGAGGCGCGAGCGGGATGAAAACGCCCGTGCCGCTACCGGCGGAGGAGTTTCTGCTGCCGAGATCTCCGGCTCGGGGCAAACCAGACCCGCTCCCTTGAAACGGGTACACCCGAGTTTGGGTCGGCCGGCTTCTCTGCTTCTGCAGCGGAACCACTACTCCTCCTGCAGAACGGCCAGCCCTAGTTGGCTCCGCCGGATACTTACCCTTGCTGGAGCTAGGATAACCACCAACCTGAACCACAACCAAGCTCCAACCAAAGTTAATAAAAAAGTTGCAGAAAAGACGGGTCAGGAATCAAGGTAGATATAAATAATAATAAATGCAGGCAGGAGAGAAAAAAAAATAAAAAAAATAAACAATGGTAAAGATCGTACAGAGGTTTCTTCGTACCTGATTAGCTTTGCGGTTATGGACCTCGTACAGCGTGTCCAACCGGGAGGCAGCGAGGCCATTGACGACCTTCCGAGGTCGGAGTCGTTGTTCAGAACTAGGAAGTGGCGGAGGGCGAGGGGAAGGAGAAGGAGAAGGAGAAGCAGAGACACGTGGCAGCCGCGGGTAGGCTGAAGCAGCATTGCTGTTATTCTCCCGTACAGTAGCAGCAGTTTTGAGCCTCTGCGATAACAAACAATACAAGTCCAAACAGAAAAAGAAGAAAAAAGGATCAAACAATTATCCAGAACAACGGGAAAATACTGAAGTACCCCCATAACGGACAAACAGTACGGTAGAAGCAAACCTCCAGGTAGAGGCCAGCTGGCGGTGGCGGTGTAGTGAGATTCAGAGCGGGGCAACGGTTTCGGAGCAGGGAAAGGGCGGAGAGGTGGCGAGCGAGGTGGTGGTCGTCGGCGGAGGCGGTGGAGGGGAAGCGGAGGCAGGAAGGGCAGAAAGAATCCCTGCTGTGAGCTTCGTTGATGAGGAAATCGCTGAAGTCTGCTCCGATGGGTGAGTGGGCGAGCTGCTTGAGCCAATTCGGATCGAAGGCGTCGAGATTGCGAGTGAAGTCCGCCATGGTAAGTTTGAAATCGAGAGAGGAATTGTGGTCGAGGGGAAGAGGGAAGGCTCTCTGCTTTTCAAACGGACGTTATGGCTCTCTATCTCTCTTGCGCTCTCTGTCTAAAAGGCGGAGGGATGGGATGGTACTGGCGACTGGCGAGTAGCGAGGGAGAGAGGGATTTTTAAAGGCCTGGTTTGTTTGGTCTAATAAGCTTGCTATTTTCTTTGTTTATGTAGCAACCACTTCCAGTTTTGCAATTTTATTTCTTTTAACCTATTTGGCCAAGGGGCAAATCGGCTCTCTTCGTTAACTATCTTCCAATAATATATAGTAGAGTTTTGTCTAGTTTTCTCCATTTCAAATTTTCTGCAACGAGAGTGAAAATAGGAAGGGTATTTTTGTCTTTATAATTAATTATTTATTTCATATAAAAAATGTCAATATCAGGATTTGAACCCGGGTCTCTTCAAACAAAAACAACAATAACAACCAATTACACTAAACAAATTTGTTGTGTTTTTTTAATACAAAACATACACGAAGTGACACTTTGAAAATTGGTGGACTATTCCATCATGATTAACAAGCCCACTAAGTCAGGGGGTGGGCAATGGGCGGGTTGGGTTTAGTCTCAAATTGACCCACCCGCTTACTAGCAAGTTGGAATAATTGTGACCCGGAATCCACCCACATACTTCTGTGTGTTGGGTTGGGTGAGTGGCAGATGGGTGTGGTTGAATCGCGGGTCAACCCGCAAAAACAATTCTCCAGCTAGCCATTAAGAAAGTTAACTAATATTTATAATAAGTTTATAGCAAATTAGTAAGACTGT